TGGAATATGGTACTGAAGCAAGTGGGGATTACTACAATTCAACGGATGTGTTGCCAGAAATAGAAATTTCTGTGAGTTAAATAAATAGCGTTTAGTTTTTTATCGTAAAATGTTTACATGTCACTCAATTAAACTGGTGCGTTTGTTTGGTGGATATTTTTTGCGCCATAAAGGCACGTTTCACTCTCGATGTATATTTTGTTCCGAATTTATTAGGCAACGTGAAGCATGGAGCCATGTTCGTTCGAAAAAACAATCATTTTTTTATAACTTCTGTCTGAAATTAACAATCCAAGAAACATTTTACAACCTGTGGCCAGATCAGAGCAAAGTTATAAAATGTATGGTTTTATTTTTATTTTTTCTCTTTGGAGTGACACACAATTGAACCAGAAACGACTATGGATCTGAGTGAAATTCAGGCCAGATCAAACTTCTCGATTTTGATCACTGCCAAAATGTCTAGGGATTCAAAATTAATCCCCAAAGCAGTATAGGATTTATGAAAAAAGATTATCAAAATTCTTATATATTTATTTGGTTAAATAGATTTTTCATCTTTGAGCACAACCCCATAGGTAGGGATTTGTTCAGAAAGAATTGTTTTGAAACAAATGTTTTAAATCGAGTTTTTTTTGCCTGTTTTGTTCAAAATGGCTGTACTACTTGATTTTTTTTGTATTAAATAGGTTGAAGAAAAATGGATGTAAAAACTTGCCAAGCGCTTCTTATTTGCAATAAATCTTTCACAAAACGCCACAAATATCGATAAAGGCTCATGCACACCTTCTCAAGCTGTAGTTCAGTGGTTGGCGCGGTAAGACGCAACCGATAAGCCTTACGTCAACGACCCTGCTGCGATGAAACCACGTTGCGAAAATTGAAATGCGATCGAATATATGAGTTTGCATAACCTCGAAAAACTCACTTCAACCTTAAAAAACAAAGTATGCTAAGCACAGAGTAACCGAACAGTATTAACCGTAACAATGACTTCATTTTGTGAGAAAAATGTCAATACATGACCTCGAAATTCATATTATGGCGTCATAACAGATTAGTTGTGGCGTCTTTGCACCAGAGAACTCTTACAAATAACATAGGCTAGATTTGGGCGTCTCATCGTTCATATCAGTAGATTACCGCCGATATAAGCATATTCTTCATTATCGCAACCCACTCGTTTTGTCGAAGGGCTGCACTTGATCGAATTGCTTTTGTAGTGGGCTCGTGAGCTAATTTTCATGATTTTTCTTACTCAAAACGTCTCTCTGATATCTCGGCTAAACATTCCGGGTAAAATCTTATGACTTTGGTGGAGATTTGAAGTGGCGATAAATGTACGCAATAGTGGTAAAAGTCAAATTAAAAAATTTAATTTAATTTTTGAAATTATAATTCCGGCTGCGTGTGCAGCTGCCAGAATGCAACGTTTTGGCGTAGTTTCGCGGCGATGCAAGAGGTATTTTAATAGAAAATACAGAAAATTTTTGATTTAAAACAAGCTCTTGTTTTAAAACACGATGTTTTTTTTAGAATTGATAAAAAACAAAACCCTACCTATAGGCATACCAAAATTTGCCACAAAATGAAAAAATTCTACAAATAAGACGCTGTCGCACACAGCGTTTGATATTCGCCACCTAATAGTTCATTCATGTCAACTTGGCAAAGGAACAACAGTTGTCTTTGAACTACACAGTACCCATGTTAATATCTGTCGATTCTGTGATCTGATTTTAAAAAGTTGGGTTTATATTGAAAAATCTAAAAAAAAAAATAATAGGATAATTTCAACAAATGTGTTATATCGGTCGCTGAGTGTTTGAGGCGTCTAATCCGTTTTTATTAAAATACCACAGAGATTTGGGTTGGTTCCTATATTATTCAGTGTCTATCAAATAAAAAACTCTCCGTCTTTAAAAAGTTCACACCTTAACAGAGTACTCAAAAATACTTATCAAAGCTTAGCCTATACATATATGTAATTTAAAATGAAACACTTAGTTGTTCCAATTTACGACAATATAAACGGTGTATCTCAAATAGAATTCGAATGAATTTTACATAGGATGTTCATAATCATGCATGTGTATATGTTTTTACTGTGCTTCCGGTCAGTATTGACCGGAGCGTTGGAAACGACTGCAAATAAAAATGGCAAATACTCGCGGAGTTTCCGGAGTGTACGTTCACTATATGCTTCCGACTATCCATAAACCCGAAATACAAACGCCTGGAACGTTTTATAAGATGTGTGTCAAAGGCCAAATTAAGGTGGTTTCATGTGCGATTTATTGTCATTTGGTTTTTAATAGACGTTAAAAACATAAGATTAGAATACCACACCGATTTGGGTTGGTTATTATATTGTATATACTATATACAATAAGAATCGCATATATAATAAAAAGGCTGTGAATAATTTAACGCCGTTTATTGTGTGAAATGAAAAGTTATTGAAAATGTACCAAATTGGATTACATAACGTATGCGTTATCACGTAGCATTGTCGGAACAAACGATGCCCACGTTCTTTCTTTTTGTAATTCTTATCTTCGTGACACGCATATTTTGATTTAACGTTTCTTATCGCCAATCATCGTCTTCGCTAATTGACCATCGCATCTTTCCCAAACAACACATGTATTTTTCACACACTATAATGACGTAAACCTCCAAGTAAACAACGTATCCTAAATTTTCTACGTTTTTCAAAGAATTTTAAAACACCACAATTTTAATAACTAAATTTGATTTTGATACAGAAAATTAATTGTCCAATTCTAATCCATGTTATAATATTGATGCGAGATAGATTATTTAAATTACCAATAAAGAAAGATACAAATAATATTCCCGTTTTGCAATTTATTAAATCAAAGTTCTAACATGAGTATTTCATACAGTAAAGTTTAACGATACCAGGCGTCAAGTAAGAATATTTCGGTACAAAGTCTTTTGAATTCTAACTAAGAAATATTCGGTTATTTATAGGTAAAGGCAAGGGCCAATAATTCCCAAAATTTTCAAAAAACAACCTCCACCACAAAACCTATTTACTTTTTACAATACCACTAAGCATTATTTATTTATTTAGGCTTATATTAATATCATTTCACTAACTCGTTGGGAGTGTTGTTAAGACGAAATTCAAAGCCAATGATTTTCGAAAAAAGTCAGTTTCAATTATTCAAATATTCTGTAAGAGCGAGGTTTGACAATATATATATATTATATTGTGTTTTCTACGCGCCGTAAGTAGTTTTATTACACTAAATTATCGATACAAAGTATTTTTGTATAAGCCTTCCAATGAAAATATATTTCTCCATATGCGATGCCTATAAATTCAAAGGAAAAAATCTACGCGAGGAGTGATTAACCATATTTTAGTCATACTCGATCAATCAAGGCACGAGATATTGGCATTTGACCAAGCTGTTGTTTAATTTGTGTTTGTGGCGCCTTGCGTTATATAAATACGCCTCCTTGATCCACTTAAATCAATATATAGATCCCTGGCTTTTCAATTATGAATGAGAACACAAGACGTGAATTTCAAATACGTACTTATTAGCGGATTTCCGCACCCTTATTTCGCTCCAAAATCTGACAAGACGTTCTTTTTTGGCATAAACTTACACTTGCACTTTTTAACATTTCAAGGTAGTTTTCTCTTAAGCTTTTAAGAACACCGATACACAACAAGCATCATCTTGTTTTAATGAGAAGTGATTCAATATATTGAAAATGCCGTAAGATCAAATTTTAAGTGAGAATTTAATTTACTGAGTTGAATCTATTGGACATCACATCGGTCTATTGGGTAATTGTCGACATCAACGTATCAATCTGCTAATGTTATACGAAATATATTACGATATTAGTATCGGATATCAATATCGTTAGATTATCAGAGACTATTCGTTCTATAATCTCACACCACAATATATTACAAATTTATTTGATGCCAGATTCTGCCAAATTTGCGAATTTGAATAACAATATAAATTCGCGGTAGCTCTAATATCCTATCTCCATATTCCTTTACTTCTGTCTTTGTAAGAAACAAGATCCAAAAGTTAACGCAACAAGGACAACGACTCCAATTCAGTTAATGAGACCGATGCATAATGCATGGGTTGATGGATTAAATCTTGTACGCTTTTCTTATTCCCGAAGTCTGACATGAGCCTAAATGTCAAACTTTATTTAAATTTACTCTTTATCAGACTAATAAAAACACAGAAAAATTACAACACTTGGCAAAAATTTATCAAAGAAATTTCGCAAAAATACCCGCATCAAGATCTTAGCAAGAGTGACCTGGTATTAATATGCCGCTAATGACTAACCGCACTATATGCCAATTACTGAACATTTTCGAAACGAAAGCAGTTATTTTGCGTATTCAATAATTTTGCACTTAGCTGATAAACTTATTTTGAGAATCTGCAACGTCTAACGTGATCATTGTAACACATTTATTTGTTTATTGTGTTCTCGTACAATTTTGCCACGAATTCAACGAGCTAGTGAAATAAATGATGATACTATATTCATTATATTCTTATACAATTTGATCAAAGCAATGTCCTAAATATACAAAGTCAAATTAAAGCGGAAAGAGTGCTGACGAAAAAATCACAATTGGTCACGAAGTAGAGCTGGTAAATTTATCCTTATATTAGTCAGTAGATCGCGGTTGGTACGATATCTGAAACACGTCAATGTACTGCTGCAATGGGAAAAGCTATGATAAAGGGAATTCCATTTAGCAATTAAAATTTCATTGAGAAACTTTTACAGTGTCTAGATGAAAATTAGAGGTTAACTTTGTCGAAATGATTCACTATTCAATTTCATTTAGCAATTAAAATTTCATTGAGAAACTTTAACAGTTTCTAGATGAAAATTAAGAGGTTAACTTTGTCGAAATGATTCACTATCAGTTATCAGAAATCTTTTAATATTTACAATGCGGTTTTTGTTGCCAGATCGATCCCTCAGAACTATCAGACACTGTATGCAAATTCATCGAACATAAAGACAATTGCGCAAGCAAACTAGCAGTAGACAGCACAAATCTTGTACCTGGAAGTAAGTAGACGTTGCAAAAATGGTGAAAGTGAATAGTTCCATGAAAATCCTGCGTCCATTGTGACTCCCCGAATTTTCAAATTTCGTTAAGATATATGATAATAATGAATTGTGTTGGAAGCTGACAATATTATGTAAATGACAAACTGGATTGATCGGAATTATGTTCTCTTAAAATATACGGTTGAGATACAATTTAAGTTTATGTGTCTAACATATCCCATCTATTTTTAGAACTTTACTGTCCCGGAGAATTTGACAACTACATGTGTTGGCCACATGGAGAACCAGGTCAGATTGCAAAAGGACCATGTCCTAATTTATACCGCAATCAAAATAGTAAGTTTCAGGCCGTCTTTCTCATCTTGGTATATTGTGATTGTTGTAAGCTATTCTTCTAGTTTTGTTTACCCGGAAAATAGGCATTCCAGAACAAGTGTCGTATTGTCGAAATATTGTCAAGTCCGACAATGCGGATTAAAGGAGAATTGAATTCTAATTGAAAATAAGAGTAAAAGTTACAGTATTATTCGATTGACAAAACCATATGAAATCAATCTCGATGTCGTTCTTGCCCACTGATGGCAATTGAAGGCACTCTTCACCAACAGTCATGCACAACCAGAACCAGAACCAGTTTCCTATATTTATTATTATGAGCTTAATTTAAAAGTATTTCCCTTTTTCATTCTTGATCTTAATAAGATCTTTATTTTTTTGTTGTATGAATTTAGATACAAAGTTTGGATTTCGATTTTGTCAAGAAAATGGTTCATGGTATAACGCATGGGATCACGAGTTGTCGCAATACGTCGTATGGCGGCACATTGACCACTGCGACCCGTTCAAATCAAATGAAAACGAAACTGACACACTTGATGATACTGACGAGGGCGAGGTAAATACCATTTTAGCTTGGTTATTGTAAAATGAATTATTGTAAATGTTATACATTTTTTCTTTATTTCATTATGCTCAACATTGGTAAGCAGAATTTATTCGATATCGCATATGCTAGAAATTCCGACGTCGAATGAGAATAATTTTTATACTGCATTTAATAAATATTGTAAATGGATTCAATTTTTATTTGTTACTTTTGATGAAATCTCAATTCGTTTATTGCAAAGTGGACAGCTACACGGATAAGTTATTTTCAAGTTAATTTATTTTTGTATTCTCTTTTTAACTAATATAACCTTTTCAACTTCAATTTTGCATTTGTTTATTTTTACTTTCTGTTTGCCCTTCCAAGTATTTCAAAATCTTCAGTCGAACTTTTCCGGATTAACGCTCAGCAATGAGATAACTTCAGTTACTTGATTATAATATGGCCTGTACAATCACCGTTGCGGCTCGAACCCGTCCCACCCACGGTTGGGATGGATGGATCAAATATTTGACTAGAAATTTAACTAAATTTTATCAGAATAAGTTTAAAAAATTAGGGTAAATTAAAAACTGTGTTCGATGTCATAGGGTTTTGACTCTTATTTACCACCTTGCCTATACCGATAGGGTATTAGACAGGTAGCACATGACAAACTAATTTAGTCGGATTCTTTAATAGTATTTTTACTTTGTATATTACAGACTCAACTGCTTTCAAACTTTCGAATCATGTACAGCGTGGGATACGGAGTTTCATTAGTCTGTCTTGTCATTGCGTTGCTCTTGCTAGCGTTTTTCAAGTAAGTTAAAATAAGTCGATGAAGTCCAAGATGAAACCATTTTTTGCACAAAAATATATTTTCTTTACATGGACAGATGTATCACTGCGACATTTCGTTTTTCTAATTACAATAAATTATGTAAAACAACTAACACATACCTATCCACTCCAGAATGATCAATATGCAAAATGAGCGTCTCAATGACATTTTAAAACGACGAAACAGAAAATAACACTTTAACGCAAACAAGCGATGATTAGTTGAAACTATCGTCCCAATTGCACATCTTCATTTCCTACCTCAACAAATTTATGTCAGAATCTAATAAAAATTGATCGAATTCAGCTATAAACCTCAAATTAGTCGAATTACTGAACCAAACAAAAAAAATTTGAAAAATTCGTCTAGCAATGAAAATGCATCGAGTAAAGACGGTAGTTTTTAATATAAGAATTAGGTGGAATGTAAACAAAACGCATACCTCAGAAACAATAGATAGTCTGTTTCGGAAAACTTTATAAGTAGTTTGCATAATTTTACCGAATATTTTCACAATTTCTGGGAAAATTGTTTGATTTAAATCAATGAAAACGGTTTCAAGTCAGACGTTGTGAGATGCACGATTTCAAAACCACTAACAAGCCGCAAATATGATTAAGTTTCAGATGTGACATTCAAATTCAGCTAATAAGTGGAAATTTTCAATATATCCATATTTACGTCGAGTAGTTTTCCTATATTTAGAGGTTTTGAACCGATTATTATAATACCTTCATTCTTGAATAGATTACACGTTTTTGTACAAAAATGGGTTTGAAGTAAAATATATTACTAAATTAAGTTGACGAAATGAAATAGCAAATAATGTACGACATTCTTTAATAAAAAAAAATCACAGAAATAATCATCAACGCTAGTATTCAATTTCATCGGTTATTTTTTATTATAATTATTCTCAACATTTTATTAAGGCAGGGTAAATAAACATAGATTTATCAAAGATTTTTGTTGCTACATTAAGCGATGAAAATAGTAAAACATTATTAGTACTAGGTTTTAATTGTAGATTTCATCAATAAACCACATTATAAAAATTAAAGATCTATTTCTATTATCATGTTTTTATGTGCTAAGTTACTCTCGCATAACAGTCACCAGACGGTAATTATTTCATATCCATGGATATTTTCAAACCGCTTCACCGAATTGTTTGGCAAGTTTATGTAACAGGAATTTAAATTGCGTCACTGATATGGTAAAAATGAATACGAGGCGCCTATTATCCAGTGAAAACAATAACAACAAATTATATTAACTCTTCAATACTAGTAGACTCAGACACCTCAACATGGAATTAATGTTGTAACCAAAACTGTACCTTTACATGTTAGTCGTTTTGTAACGATTCATTTTTTACCTAGAAAACTTCACTGCACGCGAAATTACATTCACATGAACTTGATGATATCTTTCATTATACGATACGTCGTAATTTTAATCAAGGATAGCGTTCTCACGGCGCATTACAGACTTGACGGTCTTACAGATGTAGCAAGCGCTTTGGATTTTGATCAAATGAGACAGTACTGTCATGAATACAATACGACAGGTTGGGTTCTGGTGAGTAGAATTGCTAATTTTAAACTGAAGAAGATATTCAAGAAAAAAAATAGTACGCAAGAATACATCGATTGATAATTTTAATCGCGTGGATATTTAAAGTTTTACGCTATGTATACGAGTGAAAAATCTCCCATCCGATATCTCTCGTTTATTCAATGTTTTCAACAGCCTGATATTGCATCCACTTTAGAGTTGTTTTTATAGCCTGGAAAAATGGAAAAGCAGTTTTGCTACTGTGTGGTAATTTCAACGCAAAGTAGATATCTATTTTCAAAAATAAGCGTTTTGCAATCGATAGACACAAAGGCAAGATGATTACCAGGAAATTGTCACGTATAAGATGTACGTGGTGATTATATGGTTAAATACAGATTACTTCTCTTATTTTAGCATGTCATGAAAAAATACATGTTCTTTTGTCCTGCTATTAGGAGAAAGATCACGAGAAAAACGTTTCAGCGATACCTAATTTTGGCACGACACACCTTTTTTGACCCGCCAGAATGTCACGCAGTCATCATAGCTAGAGGGCGTCAGCCAATGTGTTTTGAATCACGCCTGTTTCGATCCCACAATGTGACAAACAAGAAAAAACAACAATGTCGCTCGATGCCAGTATAGTGAAACTCGGTGGCAAGTTAACTTTTGGGTCGTCTATAAATAGGCTTGTTTTCGGAACTTAATTTATGCGAAAAATGCGTAGATAATACGATGAATAATAGGCTATGAACCGGATTGACATACACGCTTGGTTTTTGACAAGAAGATTTATCTGAAATAATTTGGAATTGACAACCAAACCGACATTCCAAAGCTTAGATGAAATCTATTGCGATATGACCGCGCAACCTCAGTTTAAACTGCAATGCAAAATAACAATCATAAATATTTATACTTGAAACAGTGTCAAATTATGTTTTCGTGGAAGAACTGTCGTGCACCCAATGGTGGCGAGGTTGCATTGATCACTGTGTGATAACTTAAATGTAAATAATTATCGGTAATGCCCAAAAAGATTACGTGATTACGTTTATTTGAAATACTGCAGAAATCTGGCATATGTTTTAACCATATTTTGATCTATCGTGTGCTCAATTGCATATTTATATTTACACGAATAAATTTTAGCGGGCCTAAATTAAGATGATTTAATGTTGAAACTTAATCAAATATCAGAAATTTAGTTCTTAGAGTTTGGTAAAAAAATACTAATTTGTCATACTCACTGTATGAAAAATGAGGTAATTAGTTTGCACGTGTATGGTGGCCCATCGTTGTCACTAGTAAAATCTAAAAAGTAAAATAAAAAACTGAAAATAAAAATAAATTAATTTTGTGGAAAAACAAAAAAAAATTAAAAATAAAAACGAAAATGAAATAAAAACGAAATAAAAAAATGAAACTAACAGTTGAGGTTGCGTGAAACTAACTACCTTTCCTTGCTCTCTATGCCTTTGCGCAGGTGGATCCGTATGCGTATTACGCAAGGATGCTGTAGCAAGAGTGTAAATGGCTATTCTATTCAATTCAAAAGTCATGCTGCACACTAACACAAATATATTTCTGTAACGTTTCGTCTGACCGACGGTATTTGTGTTCGTGTGCAGCAAGACTCTTGAATTGAGTAAAAAAATGAAAATGCGAAAAAAAATAAAAATAAAAAAAAAACGCGATTAAAATGAAAACAAAAAAGGTTTTTAATTTGGACGGCCCATCGTTGTCATCCTTCTTTATTGTCATTTTATTCGCGTTTTTTTTATTTTTTTTTTTTTTGCATTCTTATTTTTTTATTCCGTTTTTATTTTATTTTCGTTTTTATTTTTAATTTTATTTTTTTCTTACAAATTTTTTTTAAATTCATTTTTATTTTCAGGTTTTTATTGGAAGATACTATCGAATAGCCATATATAAAATGAAGATTGTCAAGGGTTTTATTATAGTAATATAAAATGTTTGGGAAAAAAAAAGTGAATACGACTCATTTTAGTTTTTTTTTTTACAGACTCGATGTCGTCTGGCCGTAACCTTGATGCATTACGCAATTACTGCTAACTACTTTTGGTTGCTTGCTGAAGGACTATACTTACAAATGCTCTTGGTATTTGTCATGTCGGAGCACAAATACTTCGCTGGTTTCCTGGCTTTCGGCTGGGGTGAGTTTCACTGTCAGGATTAATTCTTCAAAATAATTAAAATTTTGCGAGGCGATGGACGTATACACTATCTAGATATATACACTGATTAAAATTATCAGAAACATATGAATATTTATTCACAAAAATAAAATTAGCCAATGAAAAACGGATATGTTTGTTCAGGGTTCATAACATTTCAGAGTATATTTTTCAATGTCACAAGGAGTATATCTCGACAAAAACCCACTCCAACCATGAAGGAGGTGTGGGAAATAATTTCGATATAATTTTTAAATAAATAGCGACTTAGGAGGGTCATATAAACCGCATGCGAAACTGTGATACCTGGCATTTCCATTGTTAATTACAAATTTTAATTTTTTTTAGTTTTTTTCTCTTCATCCATTAAAGGTTACTTATTCCATAAAGTCAATTGGTCCCAAGTCGACTTCACTGTGCGACTCTTGAGAGTCATCCCCAAAAATTTGAGGCAGATTGCAAATGAATATTAGGGGAAACCAGCCTGAGTTATATACGCACTGGAAGGGCTGTAAAATGCCACCGTTTTTGCAAGTAACGGAGGATACATGTTTTTGCAAATACTAAGGTCCTAAGGTTCCGTGAAATAAGTTTCATTCCAGTTAAAATGACTTTACATGGGAGTCTGTACAACGTTTTCGGCGACGGTATGCGTGTCTTTTTAAAACCACAGAGTACTAATGCAATCGTGAACCATCACAGACAACTTTTTTACTGATTTAATCGTCCGCTGATTGAACTGATCGGAATGAGTTTCCTGGAGACTTATCTGATTCAAAATGTCAGTGTAGTCCAAACGTATTTTTCATTGTAAGCCTTTCAATCAAATTTTCACGGAGAAACTAGTCCATTGTTATCAAGAGAAGTTAGAAATGATTTTATCTAATTTTTAAAGGTACCACAACTAGTTATATTGCAAGTATCCGTTTTTTTGATTGGCCTGATTACGTTATTGATGGTTCCTAGTAATGTGGCTTTTCCGTGTCTGTCCAATTTCATTAGATATAAAAGACATCAAAGGACTTTTCGATATATCAATAAAATCAATAATTAAAGGTGCTGTATTATATATATATATATAGTAGAAAAAATGCGCGGAGTATAATAAAATCCGTATCCACATGTATAAATGAAAACATGCGGCAGGATATATAGCATATTTCTAAATTGTGCAAAGCAACAAATATGTAAATATTATGTCAGTTTGAAAATGCAAATGAATGCAATTACTACAATTTGGTACGATAAAAGTTCTAAAATCGGATATGAGAATCCCAACAGAGTCAGTGCCACGTCCGCTCAACTGTGCTTTTCCTCATCTTTTCTGACTTCTGATTTAATACGACGGAAATAACAGAGCGAACAATGACTGCCCGATAGATTTTACTAGAACAATGCATGAATCTGCCAAAACTATATTTGTACAGTTTTAAAATATTTCAACGTACTGATCCTTATAAATAAATTTCCTATATATATTCAAGATATTCAAATCGGGTAGAAAAAAGATCCATTAATTACCTGCTATACTCAAAATTTGTACAGTTTGAAATGGAGTATTTATAGGTATTCGGAATTATCCTCCAAAACTGAGTCACGAAGGTCTAAAAATTTGTTTGATTATTTACTAAACACACTTGGTACTTTATTGGATAAGATCGAAACTAACCTTGAAATTCATAATGATGCTTTTTTCAAACGAGACAGATGGGTGGGACTATAATAAGCCTTATACTGAAGAACAAATTTTCATATTGCTACTCATGGTAACTACTTATGAGGAGCTTGGGCGCCCAAGAACTTGCAATCGATTGGCTTAAATCTTGCTTTTCTCCTTTTATTGAAAATAGAATCTATCGTTCCCACTCCGTCAAGTAAATCTTTATCTTGGTATTCTCCAGTATGTACAATACATTGTAAAGGCAGAAAACCGCATTGAACCTGTCTGTCGACATATTTCAACAACTAAATAAATTAATGAGTTGGATTACGTATACTCAGATGCGTAGAAACATTTTTTATACCTATTTCCCGAAAAAAAGACGAGTGTGATATTGTGATGTAATATTTATCTTTTATACCGTCACGTGACATCGTATTTCGTAAAACTTTATTGCTTGTAATTTATTTAAAAGACTTACATTGCGATTTAGAAATACACTATATTGTCTGATTTTACCCATAATTCAATAAGTAACCTTACTTTTCAGGGGCTCCTTGGATATCTGTATTAATTTGGGTGGCTTTGCGTATGAATTATGAAAACAGTGGCTGCTTTGACATGAACGATGAAATGCATATTTGGTGGACGATACGAGTACCGATAATAATCTCTATCGTGGTCAGTTTAATGTATTTCATTTGTTGTCTTTTTAATTATCTATGGTTCTGTTTAGAGCATTGTATTGCATGTCCATGATTTTCGCTTAAAGGTCAGCAAAGTATGTACATTGAACTGTGACCTGAGAAGTGCAATCGAAGTGTTAGAGATGTCGCGTTTTTCCTTTCTTAGATTAACTCCGAGCAACAGCAGCAATTCGTCATATGAAATTTGGCTTGTATAAAATTTAATATATACAAACAAACGCGAGGATTTATATTTTTATCTTCTTTATTATGGATCAAACAAGCCTTTATGGTATCTCGCGTTCTGTTCAAAGTAAATATATTCAATATTTTTTATTTATACATTACAGATCAACTGCTTCATTTTCGTGAACATCGTTCGTCTAATTGTATCAAAGCTGCAGGCTCATAACATGGCACACACGGATATGAAGCTGAGACTCGCTAAGTCGACGCTAGCCCTCATTCCTCTACTCGGAATGCATTACATAGTATTTCTCGCACTCACTGATGAAGTCACTGAAAAGCAGGGAACTACTATCCATTTAAAACTTGCATTCGAAATGTTTTTGAGTTCAATTCAGGTACGTTAGTAAGACTTATTATTAAGAACATTCGTATTCTTCATGTAATTCTGGATTCCAATCGGATAATAATATAAATTGCCAAAATAGTATGCTGTTATCAATGCATCTACCGCTTCTAGTGTTTCTCCCTAATAAGCCTTAATCTTAATTTTTAAGTGGTGTATCGCGATTACTTGGTTGATAGCTAAAAGGTTATATTTAGTTCATAACGCGCATCAGTTATACAATCGAAAGCCACGAAATAAATTAACAGAATCTTGGCAGTTTGAAGGCCAATTCCACATGCTTACTCTAACCCAGTGGTTCCCAACTTTTGAAGAGACCCAAATTAAAAAAAAAAAAGGTTTTGTAAAATCTCGCGATCCAGGGATATGCTCAAATAGTAAATAAATAGCATGTAGTACTTTAATGGCCGCAAAATTGAATGACTAATATAAAACAAATTGAGAAAGCTGCGCTAAATTGCCGTCAGCGAGGTTTTGAAATCGGGGCGTGATTTTAATTGAGCAAAAGATATTGAATGCTGCAAAGTTTTCACGCTGTGATACTTCCCACATATACAATTCTATTGAAGAACCATTAAATACCAAATATAAAATAAACGGTAAAATTTGCTAGAAAATAAAATTCCTTTTCAATTTTTTTGAAAACTGAAAAAGTCGCCAATAACGCGTGCAATTGTCCTTTGCTAAAATCGCTGATTGTTTTCATCATCGTGACGTGTTATTCAGACCGTAAATGCCTTTACGTTGGTGTTTATTCTCTCTAATTCACAAATTTGTGCCACAATAACGATGATAATTATTTTATTTTTGTACTCGCACGGACTTGTGAATCCGGTGAGAGTTATCATACGTTCATCGGCGGCAATATTCTAAAGACAAATGAAGTAGTAAATCCGCGACCGAAATTTTTTGATTGAAAAGCGGCAATATAAAATACTGAAAATGAAACCGTAAACAATATAAGTTTTGTGGAGGCCCGTGACAGTTTCCAAATGCTTTCCTAGGCATTGAAAATCGCAAAATTTCGGCACAAATTACGTTTAGTCGGTGTTTACAAACATATCGTCACAACAATCGAAACATGATTAATTGTGGGCGGGATTTGCCTTTTTGTTCATTACTTTAAAATTGCCGTATAAATTTTTCGTGTTAACATAAACAAGGTTGAAAACGCGATTTTTTTTTGATGTGTGATTAATATAAGATAGTTAATCTAAAGTATATTTGATCAATTTTTATTGTACTGAAATAAGTATTACTCAGTGAGAATTTACGACAGAATTGCGGATTTTTCGAAAGGTTTTATTTTTAAAAATAATCCGCAGCATTGCGGAGTCAGTGTTTCAAGTACATCTCAAGTTTGTCGAATTTGCAAAATAGCAAAAAATACGGATCAAAACAATATATAATCGGGAATTTACCACAAATTTTTATTTTTATGTATTTTTTGTTTTGTTTCGCAGGGTACCTTCGTTTCCGTACTTTACTGTTTTTTGAATGGCGAAGTTCAAACAGAAGTGCGCAAAGCTTGGCGAGATTGGAGAACCAGAAAAGACCTTCCGAAAGGAGCTTGCAATTTACGGAAAGGCTCAACAATAAACAGTGCTAACCAAACTACACAAGTGACGTTTTTTTCACGGCATTCTACCACTGGCGCGGATATTACTATACAAGATCCCTGTCACAATTCACCCAATTCAGTTCGCCTAGAACTTGACAGTAGAGCAAATTCAATAGTACGGAAAAACAGCAATGTATCGGATTCAAAACAACTGAAAGGCGAAACTTGTAACGGAAATGGGATATTGCTGGATGCAAAAAAGAAGCAAATATACTACGAACCGATAAACAGAAATAACAATTCAATGATTACAGATTCTTCTCCGTTACCTAACTCAAACGGAAACGAAACAAATGGCAACATAGAATGCCAAGATAACGAACCTTTTCTACAAGAAGACATTGTCTGAAAATCATGTATTAATTTGCAAATCTAGAATGTGAGCCGCTAAAGACATGCGAGGCTGAGCGAACGCGATTGCATACGCCACCGTTGTTTGATACATGTACTTGTATGTAAATTTTTCAAGTATGGATCACAATCGGCCATGGCGCGAGCATGGAATATATGTGGCCATATCTCGTCTCACAACAATATTCCGGTGATTTGAATTTAATTGGGAATGTGGAAAATATTTATATCGATGTATCAAACTTGTGTCTTCTTTTACTCGTAACAATTATTTTATATATTTTTCACCAATTTTCTTTTATTCAACATTTTCCCAAGCTATCGCCATTCCAACTAATTGTATTTATATTTAAGTTCTTTAAAATTACGACTCAGTGAAAACACTTGGTTGCGTAATATGTGCGCACTGCATATACGAAAACACACGCATTGTTCAGCAAAGTTACTTCAAATAGGCTAAACCTCGAAGCGAATTCACAAACCGAAATTGGCTCTTTGGCATCATCAATTTAATGCTCATACCAATCAACCTTGCCTGTTTGTTTTAAACACTAAGTTGGTCTCCAAGTCATCATAACAGCTATCAATTATGTCGTTTTTTAGGAAAAGAAACGTGGTTTATTTCTGCCATTCGTTGATATTTCACAGCCAAGTGGAACCCAGTATCAAAATATTCAGATATAGTTCGCTAATGAGGCACTCCTGTTAAGCGACCAATCCACAAAAAGATTTGGCCTTAACTAAACTCACAGTTTGTTCTATATCTTCAAGTTATTATTTGCAACCGTGAATTTTTGTTTTGGCTGTATAATATTTATTTAAGTTATTGGAACTGAAACTGCGTTTACAGCATCGTCTTTTGTTTACAAAATTCAAAAATTCCCTCCTCATCAAATGCATGAAGCTTCATGCAGTATGTAAGAAAAAGCACTGTGAGCGTGAACATTTAGTAAGTGTTATTTCAATATTATGTTTTGTTTTTCTGAAATACAAGACAATAACTCGTTTGTTCAATTTTTCATCGTCATGGTAATTTACTTTTATTATTTTAAATTCAAAAATTTGTTCCTATTTTGCATTTCAAGTTGTGAGTAGTTCATCCCACCACATATTAAATTGAAAAAAAGTATACTAAACAAAAACAGATTACACTTGTTTTGTTGTTCCATATATTTTTAAATATATGTGTTGAAGTCACTCAGATGTCAACCGTAAACAATGAGGACATTTCGACGTTCCTAGTTATGTACGCTCATGGCTTCGAAAATGAGTTCTGTCGTATTATTACAAAACTTAAATATCATCAAAATAGTTCGGGGCAGAAAGTTTTATTACGATAATCATGGATAATGAGTTTCGGAGATGCACCAAACAATTTATTTTCCTCTATTACCATAAAAATACATCTTGAGTGAACTTTAATCCCAATCGTCTTCTACCTTTTTGAATTTCCTACAATGTTCGGCATAGCTATAGACAGACAATATCGACGACTAAAATACTTTGTACGATTGTACAAAAAAATTATATATTTCAAGTGAATATTATTGAAGCATGGACAAGCAATCGCCAACGCGATGAGCGATAAATACATTACATGTGTGTTAGAAGATATCAGTTGACGCAAAACTAGGTTTAGTCAAGTTTAAGAAGAAAACGTTGGAATGCTCGATGATATGATCAGACTTTACCGTAAATATAGCCGATAAACGAGTCCGAAAAGACATGAACAAGTTCGTATATGGAAGCCCTAAAGCATAATTTGTATATATTCATTTTGTGTTGAAACTTTGAAGCTTTTGAATCTTTAAAAAGAAGACTGCACCCGAATCCTAGTCATAAAGTGAGCATATTCTTCCACTGAATCAATAAGTGAAAAATTTGAGTACTAATTTTTTGAAAATTATTTTAGAAATATTGTCCAAATAAAAATTCTCCTCTTGTTTCGTTGTTATATTTTTAACGATATCATGCATTACTGGAATCTTTGAATCATTATTGAAATCTCTGAATATTCTCCACATAAAAAAGGAATCTCGATTTCTTACATCGGGTTTTAAATAAAACCAAAAACCTAACTACTATAATATATCAGTATATTGTGCAACGGATAGATTGTTAAAATTGCAATTGCGAGATTCCCTAAGTTCATGGAAAACATATAATATTAAAATAAATCCGTCTTCTCAATACCAGCCTTTCTATGAGTATGTTGATCTTTCCAACTAATCAAGGGATACAGGTAGAGCATGTTTGATATGCTGTAAAACTCCTGTAATGATCATGTCAAAGGGGATTGTTTGTTTACTTTACAGCTGATAGGTTACGTTTTTAATCAGCGGCCACGTCTTTGCATCTGGTGTTTACCTGACAGACCTCTCTAAAATCACTGCTTAAATTATTCGAGGAAATGGCAGACAATTTTACTTTAATTTACCATCCTTTTTTTTTGTTATCGTTTTCCATTGTCGTGGCTCGTTTCTAATATTTATTTTCATCGTGCAAGAATCAATATGTGAGACAAATCATGAAAAGAATCATAAGAATAAAAAGTTACAAAAAATGGACTTTGCTCATGGTAGTTGATGAGCAGACGCGGAAAGGAAGTTGAAAATGTGGCAAAGGAACAACTTAGTATGATAAATAAACTTAAAAGTAAGCAATCATAAATAGATACACAACCGATTTAAAATAATTACCGGCATGTGAAATGCTACAATAATTTTTGAAATGCTATTTTAAAGCTTCTCCATAGCCAAACGAATTCTTCAATTCTTATCCTTAAATGGAACTATAAAATTGAACTTGAATAACATAAGATGGAGCGGATTAAACTACGCTCAAATATATGAGTGGCTAACTGTTGCGTCAAAATGTTTCAAACTTGGATTATTTTAATCTAGATTTAGATTATTTTGACAAATGTTATTTTGCATTGTTCCCTAGTGGCCAAGAAGTGAAGTGCAGATCTTTTATATATATATAGAAAATATTAATTTTAGTGAACTGCAACAGTTGTAGTTTGTAAATATGAATTTCTGTTGCTGTTTCAAAACTGTACATGTAGTCACATAACTTGCTTATAATTAATAGGATAAAAAGTTACTCATTATATCACAAGCATAACTATATGCTGTGTGTCAACTATATGTGTTAGTAGTATCGCTATTTCAATACAAAGGAAAACCATTACAGTAAAATATGAAGATTTAAGGTTCTATTTACTTACTCTTACAGGATCTTAAAGATTGTTGAGATTCTAGATTATTTTATCTTTGAACATTTGGCAACCCTGCATTCAACTATTCAGAAACGACCAGGCTGTGAAGGCGGCAAATAGGTCCTGGTCGTGATGACCGAACGACTGGACAGCTAGATTTACTCCTGAGTGTTTGGTCTTCTTGTACATTATGGTTTCCGCACTGGCTTGCATAATATTGGATATATTCTAGTGTGCACGTTCAATTCCTGTATTTAGGTTTCAGATTGACAAAAATAATACTGCATACTGTGATGCAAACACAACTACACATCATACTACTGCTACTGTTGCATAACGTATTACTGCATCATTACTGTACAGCGTTATTGGTGTAGCATTAGGATTATATTTGACCAATTTCGTTGGGCTTCCAACTGTGAGTCTTACAAAAACACGCTTGGATAAATTTAGAACAGAAATAAGCAGACAACCTATCAACACCAATATGAAATTCAAAGACGTTTCACTGATGGCTTTGACGAAGCAGTCCAATGCTACAAAAACAGACGAGCCCAAACATGATAACGGCGGGAAAACGTTTTGCCTCGTGGCAAGTATATGTATGATGTCATAAATTGAACAAATATTTTCCCGCGCTTTGACTACCTTGTTTATTGTAACTAGGGATCACAATGTTTCGATTCGAATATTTCCGAATCTGATTCTATTTAGTATATCATCATATTATCGTCACCTTCCCCCAAATTTGGAAGAAATATAATATAAATTTTGATAAAATTACAATAATGAGCTTGAAGAATTAGGAAAGTTTCCAGAAAAACACACTGCATGGATGTATCAAATTCAACTACCAAATATATTACGACTAAGATTTTATTTTTGTTACATAAAGGTATACTCAGTTACAAATTTACTCACATACAATTATGTTTGGAAATAATACCGTATTTATAGCGATTGTTTCTTCTAAAATTGACCTTCAATATTCATCCAAATTATAATCGCTAGTTAGTACCGTATGTGCCATGATTTTAAAAGAAGCAAAGATGACGAGGAAAGCAACGCAGACATACATGTTTTTAAAAAGGTATGAAGCAATGATGTTTTATTATAATAATGTTATGTAGATAATTTGAAGAAACGTTCAAAATATTTGTGAAACTTTGTAACACTTCAAGTAGTCGAACAAAATTGAGCAAAACCATCCATTGGTCCCTCGAAAGCTGCTACCAATATGAAATATGACGACTCTGAGAGTGTCACGGCTTTGGAAAGCTGTAAAGTGTAAACGCAAGGATAATAAACGCTTTTGGTCGATATAACGAACGGTAGCGCTGCTGTGTCGTGCAGTTGCCTTGTGGTATCTATAAAAAAAAATTTAAATAGAATCAAACCCTTTTTTCCTAAATTGCTTCGAATTGATGTTGATTCGAAACGCTTCGATTCGAAATTCTGAAAGTTACATCCCTAATTGTAACCATGGCTACTTAGCAGGAAGTCAATGGCGACATAAAAATTACGAACACACACATTTTCAATCATGCTTGTATTTTTTATTCAATTATTTTTTACTGAGTCAAACATGAAACACACTGTATTAGTAAAATGCATTGAGGTGTGTAAACTTCAACGGTTATTGTATGGCAAACAGTATTTTACCAGGACCTAGGTCATTACAGAAATACATTTGCGCAAGTGTCCAGCAAGACTTTAATCAAATATTCTACTGATTTCTAAATTCTGTCTAGTGCGGGCAAAAAAGCACCACCCCTAATATGATAACAGTACAAGGAACAAATATCTACGAGTACGCTGAAGATATCCCATGGACACATTAATTCGTAGATGTGGCGAGGCCAACCAGGCGAAATTCAGATGATCTCTTTACGTTTTCTCTTGACATTAAAATTAGATTTCTCATTCGTACTTGATAGGAATTAATTCGGATCGTTTGTACAAAGCCCCTGCCACCACTTAAAATGAAAAAATACTAATTATCCAGTTGCTAGAAATTCAGATCGCGCTGCAAATTCGAATCATTCCGAACCCGAACTGGTGGCGTGGGTGTTTTCTCAAATCTCACATTTTTGTATTAGTGGCGGGGGCTTTGTACAGAAGATCCTGATTGATTCCTATCAAGTTCTGATTGGGCGAGCAGATTGGCAGGAGAAGGCAGTCGGTCATCGCAGACTCACCAATCACCCCAATCTGCCACACAAGAATATTCACGTAATGTCAGCTACCTATCTAAAAACACATCGAGGAAAATATGAGCGAAAACGCGAACTCTACAGCTTGGATCTGCTGTCCCCTACAACAGGGCTACTCAACTGGCGGACCGCGGTCCGAATCCGGACCTTTCGAGTATTTGATTCGGACCGCACCTAATTCTTTATTTTAGATCATCAGCCCCACTTTTGAAGTTTCCTTTTATAAAATGACTTTCACAGTTTTGAATATATATGAAAAGAACTATGACACCCTAATAAGCAATTTTGATTAGGTAATAATCATTTGCCGGTCGATGAAGTGTGAGTTTAGGGATGCCGGAATATAAATTCTGAAAAGACCGGACCCAAATAATTTTAAAGTTTCGTATTCGGATCTTCGGTAAAAATAGTTGAGTAGCCCTGCCCTACAACGTGCTACCCAAGGAAAGCCATATGGCTCTCCTCTACAGACCACCTAATACTAGTAAGCATAGACACAGTGGCGTACCTAGAGGGGGCGAAAGGGTAGCCAGCGCGTAATAGGGGGCAGCAGAACCGAGCTGTAGTTTGCGTCATTTTACATGTTGTTCTTGACGTGTTTTTTTAATTAATTAAAAGCTGACATTATATGTTTAGTCTTGTGTTACTAACTGCGGTGATGACGAGTCAACAATGGATGTTTCCCCGACAATTGACCCAAAAAAACTCTTCCTATATTCCACAATTGCAAAATTTTTGGTACTCATTTTAAGTGTGGTTTCGCGAGTTAGTGCCTTAAACTGGTTTTATGTTTCAAACAATCATTTTAATTCAAAATAGGCAACCCTGATATTTAAAAGTATCGGTTGAAAACTTTAGCCTAGTCCCAGCTATTTTCAGTTTAATTTTGGATTAGCAGCAATTAAACTTTGAGAAGACAGAATAATCATTGAATTATTTGATCCGTACTGAAATTTCCAAAATATAACCAAAAACCTACAAATAGCATGCAAAAAGATGAAACGAGGTAATGTTTACAGCCATGCCAGAAAAGCTGTCTGCGTGTCTGCTAAAACGTCTAATGTTGCGTCGCTTTTCCGAAGTGGAAACAGAGATTTTCCAAAAAATGTTGAATATTTTATTGCATCGTAGATTGGGCTCGGCTGGGATGTTTTTCATACTTGGTGCTTTACATATTGTTCAATACTCACAATTGGCTACTCAATTCGCTACTAATTGCGAATGATCTTTTTTAAAGTAAACATATTTAATGTCTTCGATGTCAAATTAGCGCCTGTCAAGTATATCTACGATCAGCATCGAAAAGAAATTTCTGACAAACGAGGGGAAAGGGGCGGCCGTTCAGACATTTGTTGATAGCAAAGTAGCGCTTGGACTTAGAAATAAGCGACTTGTTTTTTGCTAATAAATGAGTTCGATCTTGTAAATGTGAGTTTTTTGCTTAGTTTGATGATTTATTTAATAAAACAAACGTTTCCATCCTACTTGGCCTTTAATTTATTAATTTTCGTGCATAACAACATCTACAATTTGTTCATTGTACGAATTATTATTATGGTTGGGTATAAGGGGCAGCATTATCAGAAACTCGCCCCGGGCAGCGGAAGGGTTTGGCACGCTCCTGCATAGACATCATCGAACCATGGCCTCTCCTTTGTTAACTGGCAGGAAACAAGGTGGCTAGCAAGGCAAATTTTTTAGATGTACAACATGAATGACTCATTGTACAAAAGTCACAACCTATCAGCGATTACGTACAACAAGCTTTGAGAGATAATCTGAATTCCATATATGGCATCCATAATTAGAGCGTGCCAAATGCGATAAACAAAGTTGTCGAAGACGCGATATATTTAGATCTTTTTCAATAACATAATCCCTAGAGCAGGGGTCACCAACCAGTTGCCCGCGCCGCCCTTGAAGACCACATGGGTCGCCCGCAGGTCTTTTTTAAAATAAGCTTAATAATGGCGTTTATAAGTAAGCTACATCAATTTATTTGCCATGCTATTGTTGTATAAATCTCACTTCATCTGTATGTGGGAACTGGGAATGACACTATGTTAATTACTCAACGATCATCCTGATTTGTATTTGATCTCAGTAATGTGGCGTTTCATTTGACGCGCAGTACGGGCAGCCATAAAAAGCTCGCGGTTTAAATCAAACAGCAATCCTATTTTACGAGCCCAGTGTTTGGTTCAACCAATCTTTGTGAATCAACATTTTTTGACATGAACTTCACCAGAAACACGGCTCACTGATGAAAATCTGCAAGACTCGCTCAGAGTTACAGTGTGAAGTTACGTTCATTTCTTCTTAGGCTTATGCATTTTGTAAAAAAGCCGGTACATTGTGTAAATGTGGTTTCCTAGGATATTATTGTAGTGATCACTTTAAAATAAATTTGAAAAAGACTCAGTTTTAAAATGGAAGTGCCATAGATAGTAATTTGTTTGCTATGTTTGATTCCCTGAAGAATCATAAATTTATCAGTGTTTCTACTTGATTAAATATCATTAATGATCAATAATTGAAGCCTAATTGAGCAAATTGACTTTTTTAGAACTGTGCATTGAACTGGTAGCTCTTGGCTTAATCTGTACCCAGAAAGTAGCCCTCGGCTTTGAAAAGGTTGGTGACCCCTGCCCTAGAGCATTGAATTGTATTTGCATTGCTCTTTATGTAGGGTTCAAGGGTTCAAAACGATAATGTGATATTTTTTCTCAATGTGTTATCAAAATTAGGTGGCATGTTGAGATGTTTGGCAGCAAAGGTAAAATATCCACCAGCACTTGATAGTTTATCATCCCACAAACAGTATTATGTGTATAGATAAAAATTGGGATATATGTTAAACATTTTAAAAACAGACAAAACACAAAAATGAATATGATATAAGTATAATGTTAAAAACAACAACATAAATTTCACAATAAAAACCTGATATTTTGTTATGATTGTTCGACTCAATTTCGCAATAAAATGGCTTGAATAATAGATTTAGGTAAAACTGTGCATGGAAAATTTTATAACTCCAGGGGCAATAGGCCTTCAGAAAAACTGATAACATTTTAAGTATAGACAATGAATCAAAGAGTATTGCTATTTTTGGTACATTTCATCTGATCAAAGCCAAGATCCTCGAGCAAATATAATTGAACTCTCCTGATTGTCGAGCAATCACTTTTCTAGTCCTAGTTGAATTACCTTTGCCAGAGGAGGTCCAACTTAGACCACATGAAATGTCATATGACACAAGATTTCAATCCATGAAAATTCAAGTTTTCTCAATCTTAGTTGTTTGGTTGTTTGTATCACCGGTGGTGGTCATTAAACATATATACTGCACTCATTTCAGGAGGAAAAAATTAAAATACACCTTAATCTCAATATGCATGCAGTTCGCATTCACTGTCATATCTATTCAGAGGCAAAAGTGATGGCATGTCAATTTAAGCAACAGTCAATGTCTTTAAAAGAAATTATCCAATGAAATAGCATTCAAAACAAAAATCTTAGCTATTTTTCTATAGTCAAACATGGCAAGATGAGGTTTGCCTCCACTTATGCTTGACAAAATAAACTACTTTTGTCACAAAAATTGAATAATTTTCCAAATACATTCATTTCAATCAATCAGAATTCAATTCACAAAAATTGAATAATTTTCCAAATACATTCATTTTCAACCAATCAGAATTTAAATCAAATCATGTTGAAAAAACTAATAAAATATTTCGGTTCCTTCTAATGAGTCCTATACAGCAACAGAAACAGCAACTAATGACAGCTGGTTTAAACACATAATTGGCACCATATTAACAAGGTGATTAAAACTGCTACTCGCTTTAAAAATATCTTGATGAAGTGATAAGGAAGTAAATGTGCTTTGATTATTTTTGCATCTAAATAATCATGAACGAATTTTGCAATCTTCAAGCCTGAGCCATGAATGAATGGAGTTGAAGAACATATTTTATATCTATCTCATACGAGACTAAGATGTACTCTTATCAGCTCAGAGAAAGCTACAGTGAAGCAAGTTTGAAAACTAACATACCAGTATTCTAATATATTTATATATTTGTGCATTTTAAATATCAAAATACAGCTTAGTCATGATTGTAAAAATTTTAAATGAAGTGCATTTATTATGGTTTGAATGCAAATAACATGTGTTCGTGTGGATAAACACTAAAAATCAGTATATCTATTAAACTGTACTAGGACACTTAGGGAGAGGTTAAATAAGATATTAAAAACAGTTGACTAATAACATATAAAAAATACAAACTTCTCGAAATTGTTAAAGATTTCAATCACTCTGGCACCATTGGCATAGTTAATTAAAAAACTTGATTACATGATAGTGTGGTGACAAATTTCTTACACAACAGCACTATATAAAATAAATAAAAACCATATAGCTCCAACAATATTCTGCAATATCCATTAAATTCATATTCTCTCCTTTATCCATTTCAAAACTTCAGCGAAGTATTCCTCAACAAATTCCAGTGTTTCATGCTCTAACATATGCATGCAATCCTTGTAAATCTGATAAAATTAAAATAATATTTGTAATGCAAATTATTTATATAAATAAGTATCAGGGCTATGGACTGAGAGTTTAGCATGTTTTCTTCAAAGCCAGAGTCACATTTTCAAATTCATAGAAGACTGATTTCGAGTTCAAATTTTAAATTTAACCAGAGTCAGGAGTCTGAATTTCAGATTTTGAATGCTGATATGATCTAAATAAAAATTCCTGACAGAAACTCACAGAGCATTAAGTTGACTGCATTTCCGAGAGACAATTAAAGAAAACTTTCGTGCGCCAAAGTTTTTAGTATTAAAAATTTAATATTCTCAAAGTTCGAGTCTTTGAACCAGGAGTTAGTTTGGAGACTGCTGCAAACTTCTCGCGGCATGTAAGCCCTAATATATATTAAATTCCATGACAGATATTGGAAATACGAAGAGGCATTTGGACTGAATTTTACAACCACAACAGAAGTTCTAAAAAATATAATTTTTATACAAACACAAGATCTTTGTGGTTTGTTATTGTCAAGTCAATTTCTTACACCCAGTGAGCTATGTCGAGTCGAAGTCAGTGACCATTCTATAGCAGTTGTCAGTTGACTTAAGACCAAATTAGGAATGATCTTGGAAATTCATAAAAAGCTTTCATTAAAAATTTAGTAGTGTCTACCTCTATTGTTACGCAACAACAGATGCAGACAATAATAACACATGTTAAAGACTTCTTGCAGACCAAAAAAGCAAATAGTAGACTTTACCAGTCAAACAGAATCAAAAACAGAAGAAGTTCTATATCAATCAAGCAGATTTTACCTTGAATGTTTTATCCTTGCTGTTACAGACTTCCATTAAAAGTTTTGTTCCACCAATGTCACATAGTCCATCAGCTTCTGAATGTGCTGCAAAGATAGGTATGTCTAAACTGGGTAAAATCTCTTTCAGTTTATCCGACATTGCAAGAAATTGCATGGCGAATCCAGCTCTCATTCCATCATTGTCATTCAGAGGATCATTCACATAATTGTCTATCTGAAATGGGGATGGGAAAAAAGTTCAGTACACTGTGAGTACGGAAAATGCTTATCTGATACAAATGATACAACATAATTAACTAATATAAATTATGTAACGATTGATAAGGTTCAGTCATGGATATTTTATTACAAGAAGTTTTTGTATAGTTTCTCATTTAACCGTGACATTATTACTAGGTAGGCCAAATTTTTTTTTTTTAACTAGGCTGGATGATGAAATTTTGTTCACACCTGTTTTTGATCTCTTGATAAAAATTCTAGCTTAAGCTTCCCAATTCTCAGTTTTGGTGCGACTCTGATTATAACTCTTGCCAGAAACAACTAAAAAGAAGTGGATTAACTCGGTTTTATAACTGTCAGCCGTATAGCAATTTTTTGTAATAGGCAATATTACCTTTATGCTTTAATACAGACAAGCTTATAGATATTGAAATGATGCCTTTTATGTCATGTTGTCATTTACTATTCACACTATTGAAGATCAATGGATCATTTAACAAATAATTTCAAATTACAAAACATTATACTCCAAAATTATCAAGTTTATTTTTTCGGTACTTGGTGTGGATGTGGTGGCCTGGTGGTTAAAGCATTGGCTTTAATTATCTTGGAATCACAGGTTAAAAATCTTGGGATTCAAATCTGATGCTGATCGGCTCAACCATAGTGTAATAAATTAGGTAGGCAATGATGAAACAGAAAGGCTTCGGTACTTCCAAAATTAGTAGTAGATTAGTAGACATAGGAAAACATTGTACGAAAAAATATTAGGGAACAAACCTTGAAGGGAGTAGCGGTATCTGGACTAGGTGTAATGTAAGGTGCAGACAACAGAACACCACGAAAATAGTTTGGTCGCTCATGAGCTGTTAGTACCGATAATCCACCTCCCTGAAGTAAAAATTTAAAAGTTATTCTCAGAAATTCTGCACTTCCCAACTTTGTAACTGGTGATGAAGATGCATCAAGCCAAATCATTTGACTTGGTATAGTTCAACCTATCAAACACAACAAATCTAAAAAGTTGAGTAACTTCACATTGAAATAACTTATGGAACGCCTAAAGAATAGATAATTTAACGTAAAAGCTTTAAAAAAGTATACCTATATTATTTTAGGAGTCTTGTGAAATGAATATCAAAATATATGTCTAACTACTGATAGCTTCAATTCTCATTGCGTTATTTATCTATTAATAACGAGTTCACAACAGCAATATTCGATATTTATCAAATTTAATAACTGCATCTTTTCCAGTTTGATCACAGTCACCACCTATTATTGCACAGTGGACATATTAGCAAACAAGTTCATTGAAAACAACAGAAACATGAAAGGCAAGACATACCATTGAATGTCCATATAAAAATATAGGGAGATCGGGGTATCCTGGTCGAATCAAATCAATGTGCTGCCATATATCTCTGCTTAGAATTGTGTAGTCCATCACATGACAACGTAGACCTTGGCTTTCTCCATGAGCATCTGTGGTAACGAATAAATAAATTTTGATTAAACTCAACTTTGATTACCATATCAACTGCAGTTAGATACAATATTTAAAGCATATCTAGAAATATTTATGAACAACAAATACACTTTATGTTTAAATAGGTATTTTAAGTTTAAATATCAGTATAATAATAATATTATTATTTAGTAATATATAATAATTTTTGACAAAAATAGTAATAATTCGATCAGTAGATAAGACGAAAAGTAAAAATTACTAAAACCCACTAATATGAACATACAATGATCATGCGCAAATGATAAAACTCCTATTTCCATCAATTTATTTGCCAATTCCTTTGATCGTCCACAATGCTCTGCATAACCATGAACATGAAACACTAAGGCTCTGTGAAAGGTAACGAGAATTAGTATTAATTCAAAAGCATATGATTTATATTTGTTCTATGTGATTCAGGAGTATTGTTGATACTTATACAGGTGTTCATTACAGCAGTAGTATCCAAATCAGGATCCTTTCTGTATACAAAAGCCATCTTTAAAGGATAATGTAGCTATATAATATGAATTATTTAATCTCAAATAAGAATTATTAAAATTTTTTCCTAATTACTGAACATAGAATAAAAATAATTGAGAACAACAACGCCAACCTTTAATAATTATTCGAGTACTTTTGCACTGAGATAGAAATAGAATATCTTGTCATTTGCTATTTGGTCTCATAATATTTCAATAACAAATCTTTTATATGATTTACCATGATAAAGCATGGTAGCAATAGCAAAAACTAACTAGAATCAGTTCGTATTACTCACTTGATTTCCTTTTCTGGTTTCCAATATCTGCAAAACAAATAATTACCATCTGCATTCACAAAATGATTCACCTCGCCAAACGACACGCCAGAAAATGTTTTTGGATATATCATATCCTTCTTATCATCTCCACCTGATGCTGCAGAGCCTTGAAAGGATTTTAGAACAGTAATTAGGGGAAACAATAGTAATTCAACAGCCTAATCATTTAATTTAACCTCATAGATAACATGTCCACTTATCTGATGAATTGCTAATTTCAGAATTCAGTAATTTGTTCAAGGCCTGGTACTGTGGTAGGCTATGGCTGGTAAAAATAGTTAAATAAACAGGTATTGTCGCTGCTCACTCACCAGGGACAGAGAGATGTGAGTTTCAGAATGCTGGAATTTCAAACCGGAAAGATTCAAACCAACAGACCAATGTCAATTTAAATTAGTTGGCTCAGACACTGTACTTGCAGACCTGTGGCATAGAAAACCCCTAGATCTTGGATTTGATGACTCTATATGGCAGTATGGGTTTCACTCCAATTTTTCGACCCGTTCAACTGTTCGAATTTCAAAAAACATAGGCTCCAATTTAATGAGCTCCCAGTAAACAGTGCAAAGAAAGTAAATCATTAGAAATATATATTTTTGTATTATCATTGTTCAGTTGTTAGTCAAACTACCGGTACTGCAGTACTGCTTGCAAGTCAAAAACAAATAAGTGCTATTGAAGTAGGAATTTCTAACCATTAACAACGCCAGAAGACTCAATTGCATCCCCAGAACTCATCTCCTGTCTTCACGCCAAGATATCGATAACAGGATGGTGCACAAACTTTCTGGATTTGGCTTTGTCAGTTTGTGGTGATCAAACTGCAATTTTTTTACCGACGCCAGACGAAGTTATAGAAAGCTTTATGTCTATTTTCGAAGTTTCGCTCTTGTTTTTTTTTTGTAACGTCTCTACGGAAAATCGAAATAAAACCGACCTTCCTTACTCACTGAGTAGCTCGCACCAAGATAACGTAAACTGGTTAATTCGTTTTGATAACGCTGAAGTGAAACGCCACAATTTCGATTTCACCTTAATCTCTTGTGGCACCTAGCGATCAATTCAATTTGGTTATGATATGATTAAAAGCGTGACGACTGCTGCCCAGGGCTGCCACTCTAAATCAGTTAGGGTTTGAGAGCCGCATGCGAAACATATTTTAATATTTTACATATTTTATTGCCTATTTTTAACGAACACCGAATAGTCGAATAATGAATATTTTTTTTTTATACATAACAGGGATCCAGAACGTCGGAGGTCGATACTCCATTTGGAAATTAATAGAAACATTGAATAGTCGCCAATAAAGCGTTTTTTTTACTGGTTTATAGTTAATTTCATCATAATCGCTGATTGTCTTTGTCACCGCGATCGTTTCGGCGGCGATATCCTAAAGTTGGTGTTCTATATAAACCTAGCAAATTTACAATTGCGTGAATCCTGAATGTGCATTTAAAATAGCGAGTAAAAAAATTGGCAATAAAGCATTTTAGGCCTTTGTGCCTAATAGAGGGTGTGGGATAAGTACGCGTAGGGTACGATACCTAATGTGTCCCACTGCGACTCAAAGATACAGGGTAACTGGAGACGCGTCCTGTCCCTTGGGTCCCCAAATAATGTCTTCAATCTATGCACCAACTGACCAACACACACTGCAACCTGTACACCATTAATTCCGTAGACTTGTGTTGAAAGAAACTTTATTATCTTGTTTAAACACATCTAATGTTGACGTCAGTGATAACAGTGTTAGGGTTAGTGTCGGCGTTAGTGTTAGTGATAAATTGACTGTTTTTGACAAGGACTCAAAGAACAGCCATAAGTATGCTACAATACAAATAAAAAAAAAATAAAAAATAAGTGACAGACGTATTCGATACAACAAAAAATACAGCAATCCTCACAACCTATCGGACAATATATGGATAAACATATTAATATCAATTCTAGAATTCCTACCTGATAATCATTTTGTAATATAACCAGTAAAATAGTAAAACCTATAAACTATAAAATCTGCAGTCGTGCAGAATCCTCCCTAATAAGCAAAGCGCAACAAGCGTCTACCTCGTGGCAAGGAAAGTTTTAGAAGGCCGTAAAGCGCGGGGGAATAAGTGACTATTACGTCACAGTAAAGATGGGCAATATAAACTCACAAAGCGTGACTAACTTAAGGTGCTTAAAGTGAAGGACTCAAGGTTCCATAAAATGCATGCAAACATTTCTTACAGAGGGTCAGACGCTAATTATAATTAATTCCTTCAAGTTTTAACTTTTTTTTTTCAACAAAACAACACCCCGATGGTTATTATAGCTAAAATACTTACTGAGTAATGCTCAATTTTGTTTACGGAATTTGCAAATTCAGAACTTCACTTAATGATTTTGATTATGCCATGCCTTAAGGCTCAATTATTACTACCCAAATGCTTCAAAATTTAACAGTTGTAATCATTTTCGAAAATAATAGACGCAACAATTCGTGAACGAGTCAGTGTGCATTGTTACAACGAAAATCGTGATTGATTTTACGTTCTACTCTTGGCTCAATGGCCTTGCATGGTCAGGTAAAATGTTTACATATTCGAAACATTACTTGGCCAAGGATTGAAGGGATCACTAAAGAGCTAATACAAAATGCTTTGAAGGGAGTAGGACATGACATTTCTTATCTGGTTACAACTCAATGAGTGTTTTCCATACAAACTCATACCAGCTTTTGGAAAAACTTTTGGTCATTTTTAAATCCATGCTATTTATATAACTAGAGTTTCCTAACGACCTAACGCCGAAAAGTCTTTTTAACATATAATTGTAATCAACTTTATGTTCGGTAATGCAAGAAATGGCTAATGACATGTCCCCAAGCATGCGGAGTTTAAAATCTGGGAAATTTATTTTAAATACCTAATCTGGTTTGACGTTTCTAAATTTACGGAACGGTCGCCGGTAGGTACGTTTTTTGCAAAATATGGAATTGAAACAATAGGTTAGGTTCCAATATAAGCATATAACCACACAACGCAAAGATGACTTTTCAAATTTGTCGTTTTTTTTCTGATAGCGAGCGCCGTTGGGAAATCTCGCACAATTCACGATTGAGTTGGAGACGCTCGAGTTCAGTGTCCAAGCAGAGCGGCGCAGGTCACGTGGTACCGGATATTCGAATAGTAAAATGCCATTCGAATGTTTTATTATTCGAATATCTTGCCCAGCCCTAGTTGTTACGTATGTTGTGTTGTTACGAAGATTTGGTATTTTAAATACGCTCTCAAGGATTGTTACTATTTTACCTTGCGTTGTTTGTGTGCGGCTCTTCATAACTTTGACTTTTGAAATGCGGTTCTGGGACTGAAAAAGTTTGAGAACCACTGCTCTAGATGTTTTATATCTAGATCTAGATGTAAAATTTGGAGCCTAGATGTTAGCCATAAAATCTAGATATATTTTTTTCAAGGTTCTAAATATTATTTAGTGGGAAATAAATGAAGAGATGTGTATAATACTGTAATAGGTGAATGAATATTATTTCATTATTAGAAGTATAGATGTGAGATTGATGAAACTCATTCATATTGTACCGTTATTCGTCTATCAGTACCATATAGCCATATGTACCTAAAATATTGAAATAACGAATTAAATATGTTTAAAACATGTGACGTTTCAATTAACGTTAAATAGAAAGGACGACGTTGGTCCGATGATATTGTTGCCAAGGAGTTTTAAAATTATTAAGTTATTCAAGTCTATAAGTGCTATTGAATGTGAACATCAACCTTTCAAATGCCAAAGTGTATACACTACCAGCAAAAATTTAGAAAAGATTGGCTTAAGGAATGGTTTGCCCCTTCAGATGATAAGAACAAGGTATTTTGTAAGTTCTGCAGGTGGGAATTGAATTCTAGGTTATGAGGTTAGCTTCTTCGACATCTAATATTACTGTACTATATATATGGTTACTTTTCATTAAATTCAAGGACTTCATATCAGGATGTATTTTCTAGATGTTTTTCGAGGTCAATCTAGATGTTTTTAGTCAGGCAAAAATGGCAGCCCTGCTGCTGTCAGGACCCCGTTTAAGGGGACGCTGCGATTTTGCTTTGTATTAGCATGTGGTCCGGCGGTAGATGATCCGAGAGATGTTATAATAAAGTAGGTTTTTTGTAATATGTGAGTGTTTCAAGGTACACGATAGACTAGTTTGACACGATATCCGGTCCTCAGACGGTACTGCAGTGGGTGCACCACTGCCAGGTAACGCACCGATACTCATCCCAACCGACAAATAAATTCCCAACTGAATGTGATTGCGTTTGCACATCCAGATACAGTCTCATATGCTAGTGAGTGCGAGTGGCAGTGATCTTCAAGACACATCTGGCAACTCTCTTATAAACATATTGCTGATTTGTTGATTAATGATGGTCATTTTGGCCACTATGAGGCTATTATAAAGATGACTTTGTCCAAGTTGTATTTTAGCTGAAAAATCCTCCTTTTTCCCCAAGAGAGGGGAATATCCTTTGTGTACCATGCTGTACTCGGGATCTTCAGTGGTAATGTCTTATTACAGGGGTCGGCAACCTTCTGTCGCTCGCGGGCAAAAATTAAGGGTTGCAAGTCATTGGCGGGACCGCACGTATTTTTAGAAGGTTGAAAACTGAACTGATGATAATTTTTGTAATAGAAATCAAGCAGTGAGACATTTTTTCCTCATCGCATTTCGAAAAATTCATTTTGCATATTTTCGGCGCCAATGAACCCTTTGCACTTACCATCAACTTTCCTGCGTTTTGTTGCCATTTGTCTAATTATAATTAAATTATAAGCTACTTAAACGATCGTAATTGTGAATTTTAAACTTGTCAGATTATATTATAATTTAGTCTACACGTGTCTCACAATAAATTCTGTTACGTGAAGAATATAATCGTCAAAACAGTTTTTACCAAGATAACAACACTGTTATAGTTTAACAAGTCATAGAATGCAGAGGTATAACAATCCAAAACAACTATAAACTATAAAACCAGACATCGCATATCAAGTACTGATTAGGTAACCAAAGTGACCAACAAAGTTCAACGAACTTGTGTTATATTTGAAAGTAAGTAATAAGGGGGAAATAGAAACTGTGTGTATCTTGTAGGCCCTGTCTACAGATGAGAAAATGATGTAGTGTGATGTACAAGCCTATTATTCAAGGAGTAAACCTCATGTTTGGCAAACAAGGGAATGTTTTAAATAGGCCAATATAGGAGAAAAGATTGCTCTTTTATTCGATTAATATTTTAATTTAGATCAGGTATAAAGTTCACCAATGGTATAGTTACAGGTGCAAAAGCAACAACAGTTTATAGAATAAAAAATATAAAAAAATGCACCATTGGGAATGAACATTGAAGAAGTTTAGGGCATTTAGGAACATTTTATACATTTATTTTTTTTTTGTCGCTCCCGAAGTATGTGCACTAAGATGGCGCATAACTTGAACATATTGTGTGTACCAGATTAGGGTTTGATGTTCATTCCCAATGATTCATGCGTTCCAAGTAGGTAAATTAAATACGAATCCTTTGTTTTTCGGTAAATATGGTCTTGAAATAGTTTTTCAATTCCAATTACATTAAAGTCTTTCAGTGAAGGTCCAGGTTGGTTAAAGTGAGCACCGACGACCGGGTCTATGTCTTTTGATTTTACACTTTTAATGTGTTCTGAGATCCGATATTTCAGATTTACAGTTTATCAAGTAGACGACGTTTTCCGTATTGCACATTATTTTTTGATTAATTTTTAGTTGAATAGTTTTGTGTTTGTCTGCCGATACTTTCGTTTCTTCAGAATGTTCGCAGGTACTGCATGATTGTCTCCCACATTTAAAAAAAAAAACCTGGATTGTTGCTGACAGGTAAAAGTTTCTCTTTTACCATGCGTCCAAATCATGAAACAGTCGTCAATAAATCGGCAATATTATTTTGGTTTGAAAGGTTTTTTTTCTAATAATTTAGATTCCAGATCGGCCATGA